AAGTCTGGTTGGCTCGCTGAGAATAATTCTGGTTGGCTCGCTGAGAATAAGTCTAATTGGCTCGCTGAGAACGAGTCTGGTTGACTCACTGAGATGTTTGGTATTGCTATGATAAAAAAGTACTTCAGCCAAAATTTCTGAAATAGGGTTAGTTGTGGTAGGAGTATGTCTTTCTGTCATTAGAAAGACATACTCCCACTTGTTTTTTCCTCTTTTTCTCCCCAGTACAACTGTCTAATGTCAAGTGATGGATCTTTACATTGTAACAATGAAGCTGTGAATGAATAGAGGTGGTAGGTGTGAATGATTTAAAGCTTATTGTGGAATTTTAAAGTAACATGCCCCACCTTTCCTCCCCCCCAAAAAAATAAATAACCAGAATACTAAATGCCAAGTTGTCAGCCCTTTCTCTTACAAGTTAGTTGATTGCTGGCACTTAATTTAGTTCCTAACTTCCTCTCCTTTTTCTTTAATTCCCTTCCTTGCCACAGGCTATGAGTCGTATTTGGCCTGTCAACACCTTTTACTTATTGATGTTTTTATATCAAAACCATTAATAAGGTCATGTATCACAGCGCCGCGAGACTATGATACGTATTTGGCCTGCCAACACCTTTAACTCATTTTTAGACAGCAAAACAAAAAGACCATTACACCATCATGGGGCTGGACAACATTTCCGGTTTGCATTTAAATTGTCACAAATTGTCACACCATAGTATTCTGAAGGTGGTTGTAGGTGGTGGTTGTGGGTGATTGTAGGTGGTTTTAGATGGTTGTAGGTGGTTTTAGGTCATTCCTTCTTTCAGTCATTTCGCATTTCCGATGTGCATTTACATTGTCACAAATTGTCACCCAATAGTATTCTGAAGGTGGTTGTAGGTGGTTTTAGATGATTGTGGGTGGTTTTTCCGCAGCATTCTACTTCGAATCAATTCTACACGCCAGAATTGTTTGCTGCTTATCATAGAGAGGGATATCGCGCATGTTTAGAAGCTAAAGCCGCTGAATTTCTGAGGAAACAATCAGCCGAAATGCTGGATGTAAATCATATTCGTGTAGAGAATGTTGACGAAACAGAGATTTAAGTAATTCGCAAGATTTTTGGTATTTGGTCGAATGAAACAGTCAGCATTAGATTTTTGGTGTAGAGTTGAATAATAAAAAAAAAAACTCAATGTTTTTTTAAAAAAATGGTTTAGAGTTAGAATTTTTGAGCTCAAAAGCTCGAGTGAGCAAACAACGTTTTATACGTTTTATACGTTTTTAACGTTTTAAACTATAGTTTTATAAAATGAAATTTCGAGTAAAGATTTGTAAACTTCCCCAGCTGTAGCGAGTTACAGTGGCAGTGCAGTGGAATGGAATACAGGACAGTTTAAGGAAATTATTTTCGTTCCTCGTTTTCCCTCACCCTGCCCCTCCCCGTTCACCCTTAAAAAACTGTACGTACCAATGTATGTATTTGTAACCTTTATTCAGCGAGTACATCAAGTCGCATTTTAAAGCTTATCGCTATCTATACTTTTTGCCTAGTCGGTATCTATCTGCAATAAATTCACCTTTAGAGGTTCAAAAGTACACTTCAACTTTATCAGCCACGCAGTTTGCAGACCCAAAGTTGCAAAAGCCAAACATCTTCATTAAAGAAATGAGGTTCATTCTTATTTGAACGACAGGATCTTTTTGGTCACCATCAAAGTAATGCTCAGGAAAGAGCATTTTACTCCCGTCAGACGGCCCTGCGGCAAAATGCAATCGAAGTTCTTCACTCATTCATTTATTCAACCATTCAGTTATCAATTACCTTATTCAAATATATGAAAGAGAAGAGCCGTATGAAAACAATTCACCGAACCATTCAACAGAATAAAAACATCGCTAGGCTAAGAATTATTAATAATTTCAGTATGAATCCGTTGAAAACAAAACTGACCTCCCATCACTTTTATCTAAAAAGTATTTAGCTTTTGTTTCAAAGTGAAAGACAATACTTTTCTTGACTGATCTGTGAGGTTAATGAAGATGTAGTAGTGTTTTAGGTCATGCTATAATTTCTAATTCCTGTTCCAATTTTTTTTTTTGGTTTTATGTTTTGGGATGTCATCGTACTGCCGGGATCTGATCTGTTTAGCTGCTAAAGTTAAATAGGAAATCATTTGATCAGAGGATCAATGTTTCATCTTAGGGCTGCATAGGAAACTAAAGTTGCTCATTGTTACCAGCACAAGAACCTATAAAATAAACTATTATTCGAAAGCATAACAATACCAGAACAGTCAGGCCAAGGTCCGTAATTCCCAGGTCCCAAATTGTGCCATTTTCCACCAGAACACAGGTACATCCAAGGTGGACGGAAGGCGAAGTCGAAATTTTTTTGGCACATTGGAGCACAAGCAGGGTCCGAGCCGAAATACAAACAGGCCAGAACACCATTCTTAGGAGGCTTGTACAAGGGACATTGTTTTTCTGTAGAAAAAATAAATTACAAGCTTCATTTCCCGGTTTGCATTCACTTTAAAAATCACGGAAAGATCCACTTGAACCAGAAACTTGGCAAGGCTCCCTCGAGCAATGAGAACGAGAAAAAGCGTCACTGCACGTCGAGCATGGCTACCTCAGCCCTCTCGTGTTTTCACCATATGGCGAAAACGGCAGAGAAGCCGAGATATTTCTCATTGATCTAACCCCGCAGCTGTCCGAGAAGAAGCAGATGGATTACAGCACTGTAATTCCTTGGCTGGGAGCAAAACTATCCAATAACTTGTTACGATCAGCTGTGTGACGCGTAAGAGGCTCAGGAGGCAAACATGAGTTAAACACTGATTTTAGCGGGGCAGAAATCGCAAATGTGATTGGAAAGATAAAATGAACACGTGTTATTTTAAAGCGCTGTGTGGAATATTTTTAACCCTTAAATGCTCTGTATATCTTTCCAGATATGTTTTTGTAGATGAATTTATAATAACTTTTAAAAGACTTTCTTGTTCTCTCTCCTTACGTCTTTAGTCCCCGAAAAAACAAAATGACTGCGTGCAATCTAATAAGCTACCCCTATAAAAAAGCCCTCTCACTTATAAGCCTCTCCCAGTTGTAATGTCCATTCCATTCCAACGGTTCCAGTGGTTCGATTTGCGCATGCGCGTGGTCATCGCTTTTGGATGCCACGCTGTCTGTTGTAGTTGACAAAGTGTTTGTTATTATTTAAACAGCCATTTATTTAGAGAAGACTTACGGTTGTTACACCAGGGAGTCTAACAACTAGACTATGCTTCTCCGGGACTGTCTTTTTTTATTTGAGACGCCCAGTAGCTATCACTCCTTGGACTTAAAATACAACATGTGGCCAGGGACTGTTAAAAAGCATCTTAAAAAGTTCTAATACATCACTTAACGTTTACGATACTTTGACTCGTCACCGTAATGGTTTCCATGAACTGTCCTGTAGTCCATTCCATTGTGCTGCTACGGCCGGGGAAGTTTCAAAATCTTCACTCAAAATGTCCTGTAAAATACCTTTTAGTCTAAAGAGGCGCTTTATCAACAAAAGGACCCCTGTGTACTTACTTTTTAGAACTAATTGAAAGGTACATTCCGCTTTATTGCCAGCCTGATCTTTGGCCTCGCAAAATACTTGATACGAACCAGGTACAGAGTATTCCTCTCCAGATACTCTGTTGCACTGTATACTGGAAGGTGCTCCAGAGTTGTCTTTGGCTAATGGACGATCCCAATTAACTCTGATTACTGTATTTGTGATATCATCTATGTTGATATCTTTTGGGCAATATGTGAAAACTGGGGGCTCCTGGTCTGGAAAGTGAAAATGATACATGTCATTAAGACCTCATGACTGAATCTTGCTGCATCTCATTCACTTGGTGAAGAAGCATTTTTCGCTACTGCTGAAAGCCCGAGTGATGAGACTTGCTTACCCAATACTGCGGCAATAGCAATGTTGGAGAGAAGAACGGTGAAAACGATGAATCGAGTAATCATCTTTAAAGCGATGTCTCTCCTGAAAGATTTGACGAATAAGAGTTGCGACGGTTTTGCTAGCTGTGGACATTTTTTGTAAGAGATCAATAAATTGTCACTTTCTTCAGTTGTTTTTGTTTTATAATTGTCACAGGTGCAAGATTGCAAACATTTACTCGTCAGATGAATAAACTTTATTTCTTAAAGAATGATTACCAACTTGCATTTGGAAAAGCACGAAAGTCTGCTATTTTCCCTATTTTCGTGGCAACCTATCTCCTTAAATAGAGCAACGCACGAATCTCGTATTTCCAAAAGTATAAATCCTGTACCTCATGCGAGGAAGGAAGATTCAGCTTACGTTTGACTCATGTTTCTTAACATGAAAAAGTTCTGTTAATTTAAAAATCAATAGAACTTTTTCAACAGTTCGTCATATCAGTTACTTCTCATCAATAATTGTTTCAGCCGCTTTGAGACAATAAAATCCAGGGAAAAAATTGTGGCCTCAAGTATATGAATGCCATAAAGAATATTCCCAGGCTCATATCTACCACTCAAGTTTAGATGTTAAGAGAGAAATATTTACCCTTTTACACGGTCTGATAATTTCGATAGATATGTTTAATGTTCAGAATTTGTACTAAAGTATGTAAAAAAGTTTTATCGCAGCTTTCATTCCTGAATTTTTCCAGTCCTGTTTATCTATATCTTTATTCTTTAGTCTTAGCTAAATGCTAGTGGCACTGATGATTGATATCCATGAATGAGATCAATTTCTTGGCTTTGACTTTGTTTTCTCAGCCGGCCGCTTGTGTTTAACTTAACCATATGATATGATTCATTTAAATATAAATTTCTCATTCTTCATTTGAAAAACTGCGTTCTCCTCAAAGGACTTTTTATAAGCTGTAATTTTATATTTTGCGAGTCACAGGTGCAATATTTTAGTCCTTCAAGAATTCAGTCATCACCAGTGTAAGGAAGTTTTGGCTGACCCTTTTACTCCCAAGATCTAATTAGCAATTCTCCTAACTATCTGCCATACAATTCTTATGATTTTGGTATTGGATCAACTAATGATCCCCTAGCTGATATTTTTCTTTATTCTCATTACTCGTCTGCTTGATAATATAAGAATATTGTAAGGAGGAACTCTGTTTTGGTCATTCATGGGAGTTAGATAGTTAATTACGACGGAATTATTTTGAGTGAACGTCGAAGGTAATCCACGATGACATTGGCTCTACTTAACCTCGCTCCGTAATTAGTACCTGAAACTTGCGTCACCCCCAACCAATCAAAAGTAAAACTAAACTCCCATTGCGATATAGTCACTCTTATAACCAAGCTTTTATATCTCAGACCAGACGATTTAGATCTTAGAGTGAATAAAACTCAGAAAGTTCAAGCAACATAATGTTTATTTTTATTGACATATACATGGAGACACGTTCTTGAAATTACCCGAAGGCTTCTTGTGAACCTGTAAAAAAACAAAAAGACAGAATTGATTTTCAATTTCATTTCGTATTCGTAACTTTTTTGCATAGTTTTCCGTCATTTTATCCTGAATCTTACTGTTCGAGCTGAAATTTATAGCAAATTATTGTTCAACGTGGCTGAATCGATTCAGACCAGAAAATGAGCGCCAGATTCCTATCGCATGTTATTAGATAATTGCCAAAAAAAACCGAATCACTTATCTTGCATAGAATCGAAAATGAATCATAATATATATATTTTTTAGTTTAAATCTATCAATTGTTCAAGATCAAGATATGCCAATGTTTTTTACTTGAAAATTATGAAAAATTGCTGCCTTAGAAATGTGTTTCCTAAAATTGTCCCAATAGCTGTTAACAATGTTTGGTTTTACATATTGAATTAATATTGAACTGGTTACCCAGTTTTTAAACTTATAGTTTTACAATCGGCATCAGACATTGTGTTACACCCAGGAGAATCCCTGAAAGATGTAAGTGATGATCAAGTGGAACATACAATTTGTCACTTATGTGAACATTTCTCATCTACTTCTACAAGAGATTGGTGAGTAAACCATTGAAGAATATCTATTTTTTCAATTAGTTATAAATGTTTGGATGCAGAGATTAGTCACATTAGTGAAAATATTGAGAAAAGGATAAATTTCATGTACAAATACTGCCTTTTCATGTATCATATAAACGAGGCAAAGATGTCGTCATCTTTCATGCATAGAGTTGGGCCATACCATGATAAAATGAAATCTAAAGTAAATATCACATTTCTTTGTAAAACAATAGCATAAAATGCACAAGAAGGCATAAAGAAACCCATAAGAAAGATTTCCTTCATTAATGAATTTTTTCCACAAAATTAATTTTAGCTAAAAATTCTGGAACTGTTCTTGTATCAAATTGGATCAACAAAATTCTTAGAGCTGATTCAACTCATGATAGTCAACTATTGTTAAAAGGTTAACAAAATTTGTAAACATTTCATTTAAAAAGTCAAGTAGCAGAAAGGTCGGGGACAAGCATCCAAGGGATCGAAAGAGCAGAAGGTTCCTCATTACTAGAGAAAGCGAAAAGAGTAAGTAAATTCTTTAAACTACAAATTAAACCAAAATAGTTATTGTTGCTGGATACCTTTCATCAAAGTACTAACAAATAATATAAATCCCCGATGTGCAAAATCATGTTCTATAAGTTTCATGTGCTGCAATAACTGGTGAAACATGACCATGGTGGAAAGGGAGTTGCGTGGCTAGTATAATTGTTGCAGTTCAAATTTCTGCAAAAAGGAATGCAAATTAACTTCATGGTCAATGATTGTTCAGAAAAACCTCCCTACTCTTGGTTTTCATGTGTTTTTGGATTTTTTTCTTCATGTGGTGGTCATAACTTATGTCGCCAAAATAAAAAAAAGGAGAATTTAATGTCTTGAACAATTGCAACCAAATTATTAAGGAAGATCTTTGAATAAGAAATTTAATTTGTGGTAAGCTGTATAATGCTGCATGCTTTGGGTGATTGACTTTTGACAATATATCAAAGACATAAAAAATACCAATACTTTGATATCAGGTATCAGCCATGAGAAAAAAATGTCTCACCCAAGAACCTGCTGGGGAGTGTTTCCGGATTAAGGTTCTCCGAGGCTATGTGCCTCGTTGGCTATCTGTCATCTCATATCCAACGCGCGCTCGTGGAATAATTGTTAAATATATATAAGCAGAAAAGTGATGGTCAAGAGGCCAACTCCAATGTAGCTTTGTTGGTTTCTTAGCTCGAAGTTTCGAACATCTTGGTCTTCCTCGGAGGCTTAATTATAAATATATATACATAAACCTGCTCTGATAAATAGATATGCCTGCACTCTATACAGCTATAATGCATGGCCTTTAATAATTAAGCATCAACATGCTTACATTCTTTCTCATCAATTTATTTACAGGAGGTGTATGACTGGGTGGGTCAAGAGACTTCCCAAGATTAATTTACATTACATCAACTTGAATCTGTTTTTTTTTTCTGATACAAAACTACCCACTGATAATCTCGTCCAATCAGAAAAACTGTGCCTGATAACAAGGGTAAGTAACATGCAAAAAGGATCTTGAAAAGGCCATGTAGTAACAGCTAAATTAAAAAAAAAATGGTTTATGTCTATTTTACTTCACAGAAAAAAGATGAAGCAAATGAAATATTTGGAAAATATGATGAGGTGAGAAAAATCAAAACAGATCATTTGGTTCCTTAGTTTTTTTTTTCTTTTTAGAAATTGATCTTATTAATTTTAGTTATCTTTCAAAACTCTGGTTGATTTCAGGTGTCTTTCTATGGCAAGTTTGCTACTGATAAATCCCTTGATTCCACTATTCCTGGTAAGTAGAGAATTTTCTTTACAGAATTTTAAAAAAATTAAAAATGAAAAAGTGAAGCCGTAAACCTATTTGTTTCTGTACTTCTAAAGATAGCAAACTTTAAATAAAGTAAAAAGAAATCACCTTTATAAAGTTATATTTTTATAGACTCATGCATAATATAAATTTAACTGCAAACTGCGAAAAGAAAAAAAATCAAGGCCTCTCTCTTTAACTTTAAAGATGACAAGGACTTGGGAGAGCAAAGACATGACAATGAGGAGAGGAAGACTTTAAGTGAGGGTAAGATTGAACAAACAAAATTCGTTAAGTTTCATGGCTGGTGAATTTCTCCAGTTTCTAATTTGCTCAAAGCATTCCAAAATGGGAAATTCAGGCCAATCCCGCATGACCAAAAACCTATAAACAACTGACGACAACAATTTCTTCTTACTATCCTCACAGAACCAGAAACCTTCTTTTTCTTCTGGGCT